AGCAGTGCTGGCAGACACATTTAATATTAGCACTCAGGAGGCAGAGGCAAGAGGATCTCTGAGGTCAAGGACAGCCTGGTCTATGTATCGAGCTCCAGAACAGCCAGGATTACATAGAGAGACCCTGTCTCCAAAAAACATAACAAGTCAGGCAGTGGTAGTGCACACCTATAATCCCAGAGCTGGGAAGCAGAGGCAGATGGATCTCTGTGAGTTTGAGGTCAGCCTGGTCTACAGAGTAAGTTCCAGGAAAGGCTCCAAAACTATACAGAGAAACCCTGTCTTGAAAAACAACAACAAACCTTCCTGAAAGAAACAATAGACTGAGCAGTGGTGGCGCACGCCTTTAATCCCAGCACTTGGGAGGCAGAGGCAGGCGGATCTCAGTGAATTCGAGGCCAGCCTGGTCTACAAGAGCTAACTCTAAGACATGCACCAAAAAGCTATAGAGAAACCCTGTCTTAAAAAAACCAACCCCCCAAAAAAACAAAAGAAATAACTGGAGAGCTGGTTCATTGCTGTTCAGATGCACTTGCTGTTCTTCCCCAGACCTGAGTTCAGCTCCCAGCACCCTTAGCAGCAGGCTCAGAAACACCTAACTCCAGCTCTTAGGGCATTGGATGCCCTCCTGTGTGTTAAGTTGGGAGCGTAGACCCCGGCCCCTTGCATGTATCCCAGCCTCCAGGCCTGAGAGTTGTATTGGTCTGGACTCCAAATCCCAGCATGCCAGTACCTGACCCCTCCCTGGGGGTGGGGGGAGGTCTGGACCATTCCCAAGAGTATTTAAATGAACTCTCAGAAGAGGAACATGTGGTCTCTTTTTCTTCCTCCTGGGGGTCACCTTTGTGGCCCCTCAGGGCCATCCAAGAGTGCAGGACTCCCATTAAACCTGGATATTTTTAATTTGGCTTGTTTTGATTTGGCTTGATTGGGATTTTGTGTCGGCAGAGAGCTCACGTTAGGAAAATATTCCTAACACTGTGGACTCCTTGGTTCCCTGCACACGTGGCACACACCCACGTTGACACATACCCACGTGGCACACGCCCACATGGACACATATACACGGGGCACACACCCGCGCTGACACATACCCACGTGGCACACACCCACACGGACACATACAAATAAGAACCATTAAAAACTTTTCCCTAAAATTTACTTTTTAAACGAAATGCCAACAAGAAAAAAGTCTAGATATGTTTAGTATAGACACATTTTTTTTCCTTAAAATTTTTGTCCCTGGCTGACTGCCTAGAGGAAGAGCCCACAGACATGGATAAGGGGCCAGGTGACTGGCTTATAGGTAGAATCTTGCATAATGTTTGCAAGTCCTGGTTCAGTCTACATTACCTCAAAACAAAACAAGAACAAGAAAATGTGTAACTATTACTGCGTGAAAATCATATATCAGCGATAAAACACCACAGACAGCCAGAACTATAGTCAGCAGGGCCCAAGTCTGTGAGCATCCAGAGGACCACACGGCTCTCCAGAGCTTTCTTGGGGTAATGGGTCTGGTCACAGGCCAGGGCCTAAGGTTTAGTTCATCTCAGCCCAGGGCTGCCAGCACTCTGTCTCTGGTTGTCTGATGGACTCAGAGGCTGGGAAAGCCTTTCTTTAAATCCCTTCCCCATAGGGACACTGAGAGTCTCCTAGATTTTTGTCTCTGCTTTCTGGGTAGTCTAAGAAACAAAGAACATACCAACCCGCTTTGGCTCCTGGCAGTGCCTATAAAATAAACATGATTAGAAAGGCCAGGGACCACCAAGACACCGAAGAAATGGTCCACAAAGCCTCCCCTCCCCTGCCTCCACCCCCATTTCAGCCTCCACAGAACTCCATGCCCCCACCCCGCTTCCCAAGCTGGGTGGGGTATAGCACAGGCCTGTTTGGGTGATATTTATATAAGAAGCTGGGTTCTTCCCTGGGGCAAGTAAAGTCAGTTGTAAAATTTGAAGGTGCGTTTTAAAATTGTTTCAAATCCTCCAGTGTGTTTCCTGTCTGGCGCTGTATACAGGCATTGGTAATGCAAGTGTCTGTGTGGCCTGGAGGTCCTGTTAATGAGAGAGGCAGAGATGTGAGGGGCCCCAAACATTCAAACACGGGGTGGGGGAGACCCTGTTGTTGGTGAGGGTGTGCGTCGTGGTGTTGGAATGCCTGTAAAGGCCTCACCCTCGGGAAGGTGGCTTAGTCCAAGAAATGAGCATCTTTGAAAAGCCACTATATTATAAATCATCAGTTAATGGCCCGGGGGCACAGGGATCCAGGTCTGTTGTTTTGTGTGATACTGTCGGACAACACATCCTAACTAGGGTGTAGCAACCTGTAATTTGACAGGCGAGATAAGGAGATGTGTGGTCCCCATCACACAGACCTGTGTCCATCCGGTTTGCCTGGAATGTCTTCCCCAGAGATAAAATTCCAGCTCCTCGCTCTCTCTCTCGGCTTCTTACCACAACACGCAGTGGGAGTCACTCCTTCTCTGGCCCCGTGACATTTCGTCCCTTCTCTTCTGAAATGTAACTGAGCGTGTCATTTCAGGCTCTGAGGAGCAAAAACAGCCTTTCTTGGCTATTGTGTTCCGTTCGGTAAACGCCATCACATTGAGGCTGTTTTAAAAACAATTTCATGCTCTTAACTTTGCAGTGTTTCATGTAATTACTTTAGATTTAGAGCTGGTGAGACAGGGCAGCCAAGGTGATTCAGCAGGGAAAGGACCTTGTCATCCAGACCTTGGAACCCACGTGGTAGGAGGAGAGGGCTGACTTGAAGTTGTCCCTTTACTCCCCTCCCCCAGTGCCTACCCACATACACTCACATGCATGCATGCATGTGCACGGAACACGTATGCACACGTATGGAACACACACACAATGTAAAAGGGGTTTCTGGTGAGACTGAAACTTTCATTGGAAGGAAATGAGGCTTTAGTTCTGTTTCTAACTTCTGTTACATTATCTGCTTGGGGACCACATTTGTGTGGGATAGGCTTGTCTTTATTGTGACGTTTCTGGGCCTTTGTTAATGAGGGATGTTGATGGGCACTCGTCCTATAGCTGTGGAACATGAAACTGAAATACGGAAAAATACTGATGCAGATGAATAATTCAGTCACCCAAGATGCAGCCTGCTTCAGCAGGAATTCAAGGGTGTGCGTCTGTAACTGTCGCTCTTATGATCAGCTACGGAGAACGAGTTCCAAAAGAGAGGGAAGGAAGGAAGGAGGGAAGAAAAGAGAAAAGTGTGGTTGTGGTATTGTTTAGTACGACTGTGTTGAAAGGACCTGGGCAGGTGCCCCCATGCTCATGGGCACTCATGTCCTCTCTGCCTTGCTCTCCAGGTCGTGGGTGGTAGAAGAAACAGGCGCTCAGGAGCTGAGTCCTGGGTCTCCCTCGCCTGTAAAGAGTGAGGAAGGATCCCTCAGGAGTCCTGGGTCTCAGCTCCCTAGTCTGTAAAGAGTCAGGAATGACCCCTCAGGAGGCTGCTGATACTCTTGTAAACTGCCCAGCTTGGCAGCTGGCAGGTATGTACACACAGGCGTTAGCTCTGGCTGAGCCCAGAGTTCCCACCATTCTCTCCTGCAGGCCTATCCATGCAGCCAGTTCTTTAAGTTTAACCTGCACTGCCACATAGAATTGTGGGATACTCAGTTGAGTCTGAATTTCAGATAAACAGTAAGAAACGTTCTAGTATAAATATGTTTGATGTAATAGTTGAAATATATATCCACATATATTTACATATTTTACATTTAATTAATTAATTTATTTGTGTGTTTGTGTCAGAGTATGTATGTGGAGGCCAAAAGACAACTTTCTAATCGGGCATGGTGGCATACCCTTTAATTCCAGCACTGGGAGGCAGAGGCAGGGGGGTCTCTGTGTTTTCAAAGCCAGTCTGGTTTGCGAGGACAGCTACAGTTTTGTAGAACCTGTCTCAGAAAACACAACAGTGAGCAGAACACTGGTGGCACAGGCCTTCAGTTTCAGCCCTGAGACGGCGAAGGGGGGCAGAGCTCTGAGCTTTTGAGGCCAATCTGGTCTAGAAAGAGAGCTCCATGACAGCCAGGGCTACATAGAGAAACCCTATCTCAAAACACAAAAAACCAAACCAGCCAGACAGTAGTGGGCACACCTTTAATTCCAGCACTCAAGGGGAGGCCGAGGCAGGCAGATCTCTGAGTTTGAGGCCAGCCTGGTCAACAGCGGGAGTTCCAGGACCACCAAGGCCATCCAGAGAAATCCCCGACTCAAAAAACCAAAAATCAAAACAAAGGAGTCAGCTGAGGTCGTCAGGTTTGGTGTGAAGCCCCTTCCTGCTGAGCAATCTCATTGGCCCTTACTTTAAATTAGAACAAATAAACAAACGTTGTCCACTTGAAACCCCCCCCCCCAGGAGTTCTGCAGTCTGTCCTCTACGAGGACAGCTTGATGATAGCCACACGGCCTGAACTCCCGTGTATTATTCCTTTAAAAACGGCGGCGTGTGTGTGGACAAACACAGGATAGACGAGACGCGCGCGTAAAGGAGAGACGAGACACGCGGCTCCCACGTGGGTGCGCTTTAATGGGGAGAGGGGAACACAATAAGGGATGGGGTGTGCGAGATACACAAGGGTGGGAGGCGAAAAGAGAGGGGGCCCAAGAGAGCGAAACCTCGTGGACGCTCGCTTTTAACGGGGGG